TGTCGTTCGATATAATTTTAACTCGGACTTCCGGCAGGGTGTTTGGCAACTCAATTTGTGTACCGTCCCATGATATATGAACATTGCAATAGTTTTTTAAGTAATAATGTAAACCCCATGTGATTGCCACCCCGGAAGTTCCGCGAATTTCGATTTCGTCTAGAGGATTTTTTGTTATCTGTAAAAAATTATTCGATATTTATCGTATTACTCTTTTGAGAATAAGTACTCACGAACAAATGTGTAGTTGCTATATTCGAGAGTAAATATCGTACCTTAAAAGTATCTTTACCAATAGGCCCCAAATCGGTATCCAGTATCATAATAAACAACTTAGATATTTCTTTACCCAATAATCTTTCCGCGACATTTTTAGCTGCTTTTGCCTGAATTTCTGGTGATGTGCGCGATTTTATATAGCCTAAAGTATCCTGAAACACTGCTCACATTTTTAGATATCCGAGTAAAAAGTTTTTATATATGATCATACATATTATAAATATATATTATTATACATATATAATTCATATGATTGTCTGATTATACAATCCAATTATATATATCCATGTATATATATATAATTTCATATATGATCATGATATACGAAATTACATAACTAAACTAATTTATCACATATATTTGTTTATTAATATTGTATTCATTATCGAAGCATTAGTTCCTGTAAAATTACAGAAGTTAAGCAACGTTAATCAGGATATGGCTTAAAATGACTAATTAAAAACATCATGAAATTGTATGCATAGTATTCCAAACACATTTTTTACAATTATAATTTTATCCTATGTAATCTCTCTTTCTCTAGAATGAGTGATGCTAACTAATAAAATTTATTTTAGCAATAATTTTCTATATACATATATAATATAAAGGCAGATATATTCATAGACTATGTTTACACAGCCCGATTTACGTCGAAATTATAACATCGGATGAACTATTAACATTAGATGTCGTATAAACGTTATTTTACGACGAAGTTATTACATTGATGTAATAACTCGTTTGATGAAGAGACTAGGGCTCTCACCAACTCCGATTAGCTTAATCGGCCGATTAAATTTCAGAATTGCCAACTGCAAAACTGAAAACATCTTAGTTTTCTGCAAATTATAATTTATTTATATAAAATGTAATAGTTTAATTAATAACTAAATAATACTTTTCATTAAAATAATTAATTCTACGTATTTTGGTATCACATATGCGGTAATAACAAAATATATACATATATTACATTATTCTTTAGTTGCTAGACCCAGTTTGGTAATTTTCGAGGTAATTCTGAAATTTAATCGGTCGACTAATTAGAATTGATGAGATCAATCTTTAAGCCGTAATCACACTGCGAATGCACGATTGTGACTGATGATTAACGATTATTTTTTTACCAGATAGAACAAAGCAATCGGTGATTATTTTGGTTGAAAAATAATCGCCAATCACTAATCACAATCACGCAATTGTTAGTATAATTATATCGACGCAAAAAAGACGTGTAAACACGCAATGTTATAACTTCGGTGTAAATCGGGTCGCGTAAATATAGACCTAAAAGATTACTTAGCTTATTGATTTATTTACTTTCTTTCATTTTTTTTAGCCTAGTTGAAATAAAGATAAGTCTGAATGTGTAAACACGACTCACTTAAATAGCTGTTATAACATCAACGTTAAGTTGAAGTTAAAAATCCGTGTAAAAACGCACTGATAGGGTGTCCCAAACTTTTTGACACATCGGTTGTGAGCAGACTGAACTAAACCGAGTCGAAAAGTCTTGTACCATTTTGCAATTTTCGCAACAGTTAACAAGATATTAATTTCTAAAAATTGCTGAATAAGCGGGTAAAATCAACGCATAAGACAATTTTAAGATATCTTTCAAAGTTTTTAAAAATGTTTTTTAAAGAACTCTTAAAGATATCTTAAGAGAACATTCTAGCGTCTCGACTGAAAATTCTACCGATTTTTAGAAATTTTTTTGTAATAAAATAGAGACACACGCACGCACGCATTGATTTGAAACTTTTTGTACTACATTTTATTAATCTTAAAAGGTGCATACAAATTTTTTGTGTGCAATGCTTTTTTATGGATTTAATGTATAATAATTTCAGGTTTCAACGGCGTGCCTCTAAAAAATGATGGTTCGCTATTGGACACGATTACAAAGAAATTATACTTGACTAATCGATCTAAAATTTTAATACATTATTTTATCATCAGAGTAGCTCTTGTATGAATCGGGCTTCTTAATTAATTAATGTTTATGTATTTTTTTTTACAACAATTAGATAAAAAAGGCCTATTTTCAAGATCCTTAAAATTTTCAAAATGATAATAAAAAAATTTTTATCTATGGTTCTTTGTGCTTCGTGCAAAAGGTAAAAGACTTCGATTCATTTTAGTTCGCTTTATATGCCCACAAGCAGTGTGTCAAAAACTTTGGGACATCCTGTACTGTGAGAAATGACATTGTTATAGAAACAAATCAAGGGACAACAAATGTAATGATTTAGTGTGAAAACGATCAGTTACAAGATTGCAAATCATTTCTCATTATTCGTCAATGTAACAAATAATCAAAATAATCAGTAAATAAAGTCAGGTTATAAAAATAAGTTACATTCTTAGTTTGCTTCCATTACTAATAATTGGTTGCTATAGCAGACTGGCAGCAATTATAACAAATCAATTTGTTGTCACATATTTATAAATCATTTGTCAAAGGTACTGATGGCTTGTTAAATTAACAAAATCTTTCTTTCAATGTGTATAATCATGTAAAATCATATATAGTCATATGTTTATATACAGTCATATATAACTGCATATAAAAATGTTTACTCTGATATTGTGAAATTTTAAGTCATTTAGTTATTTTATGAACAAAATTTAAATTAATTATTATAAACGATGGGTAAAATGCGATACACAATGATCAAATAATTTATTCAGTGGCTTAATTATTAAACATTTTACAGTGTTTTGTATTTATATTTTGTATTCCAAAAGAACGCACACTCAGAAATTAAAATGTAATATGTTCTACTTACTGTCCAGTTTGCTACATGAACTGGACGACACGAGTAATCCAAATATTATTATAAATAGTTGCAACCACGATGTTGTGATGTCCATCTTGATAAACTTCAACATGTCGACTGACTGATTAAAGAGGGGACACAGAAATAATCGTGATAAGACTTGGGAAGAGTGAGTGTGCGTGTACATTATCACTCCCACTCTTACTATGGCTTTCTTATCTGATAAGGCTTTTAACTACCGTGGTGGAAATACAAGATGTGCTCTAGCACAGCATTTCTTAACAGCCAATAAGAAAGTTACTCTCAACGCCGTCCATATTGTAGCGGTTAATTCGAATCGAACGTTCTATTAACAACCATAAAATCGTACTATGCCTACGATTAAATGTTATTTGTCATGCATCTCTCTACAGAAAAACTATTGATTTTTTTTTTATAAATATTAATTTGTAAAAATAATTATTATTTTTAGTTATTGTTAGTACAGTTACTATTATGTCGTAGAAATAGTTATAACAAGTTAATAATACTTCCTATATGTTTAAAAAATATATGTAAGGGTAGTTTATTATTAATTTTATATATAATTGAAAAGAATTGAGCCATTTACATAAAGAACTATTTAATAAATCTACATAAAAATATTTAATAAAGTAAGGTATTAGGAAAGTTTCTTGCACACTATGTATGTGTGAAATTTTCAAGAATATCGTATAAAAAATACACAATTAGGACTCTTCAAATTTAAAAAAAGACTAAAGGAAAATATAATGAGAATGCGTCATATGCGGTAATTGGAGCGCAAATTAATTGTTTATTGTGTCCTTAAATTATTCTTAAATCAACGTCAAACATTTCTTTTGTCACTGAAGATGGGTGGGAATGAAGCCGAAACGTTTAAATTTTTCGATTATTTATACGGTATTAAAGGAAATAATTTAAAAAGCACACAATAAACAATTAATTTGCGCTCCAATTACCGTGCTTAATTCTCATTTGCCTGTTATATTTTCCTTTAATACCGTATAAATAATCGAAAAATTCAAATTGATATCAGTTATTAGAGTATAGGATATATTGAAAGTAGATCAAAATGCATATTTTAAAAAAATTGATTTTTATGTGCAAATAATTTTTTTACGGTTTTTCATATTTTTATTCTATATTTTTGTTCTATATTTTTTACATTTTTTATATTTTATATATACTATTTTTTATTTCTTTAGATAAAAGTTGATTTTTCTAGTCTGTCGATATTGATATAGATTGTAATAATAATTATTTTTACAAATAAATTATTGTAATACATCAAATAAAATTATTCAAATTATTTGTCATTATAAGCAGAAAAATTATAGATATTGAAAAATTATTTTATTTTAATTTTTTGCAATTTTTCTAAAACTAAGTTTAAAAAACAGAAGATAAAATTGCAGAGGCAAAATTTTATTACAGATATCTTCATCGCAAAAAAAATTAATTTGGCAAATTAAAAAGTATATTTGTATATTTTTATTTTATAAAATGTAACTAATTTTTAGGTCTCGAGCACCGTTTAGAATAAAATTATGCCGATTATGAAATATTTCTTTTTACAATTTCATTTTACATATTTTAAAAAATTGAAATTGATAAATAATTGCTTGTTAAAATTAATGTAAGATTGATAATAATAATAATTGTTAAAATAAGATTATGTTTAATCGCGTATACTTTTATTTTTGTTTACACAAATCGAATTATTACTGCATTAAATAAATTTTTAATTTGATTTGTGTAACCAAGCACAAAGTTATAAAAAAAATAAATCTATAACATCGAATTAATATACAAGTACTAAAAAGATGTTAACAAAGTATTAAAAAGTATAACCGAAAGGCCCGTTTAGGGCTGATTTCTCATTGGGATTATAATAAACGTATACATGATCGTCTTTTTCCATGTCTCCAGATACGATCGGTGCGCAATAAACTCCTGAATGTGCTGTATCATCCTCGTTGGAAAATATATGGTACTTTAAGTTCGAATATGAATAAGGTACCGCAATGCGATATCTGAAATTAAAAAAGAGTAGAAGTTATATATTTAAAAAATTTAACAAAGAAATAGTGGTACTAATGGGAAGAAATTAAAATTGAAAAAATTTATATTTTGTATATCTGAAAATATATTTTAATATGAATTAGGGATAATTTTGTATAAAATATCAAAAGGATTAAATTCAGTTATTAGAGATTAGAAAACTTTTAAGTTAATAAAAATTTGAAATTTATTAAAATTATTTTAGATCTGTATCAAATGATTTGATAATAAAAAATTGGGAGCAATATATATTTATATATGTATATACATATATACATATATATAAGGATTGCTCCTGATATTTTTATTATCAAATCATACATATATATGTGTGTATGTGTAATTACTTTGGAACTCGTTTTATTATCTTAATGATTGTATTTCTTATCTTTACCCATTCCCAATCTTCTTCACTAAAAGGCAAGGTTGATTGTGGTGTCGAAACAACAATATTTGGACGAATCACATAATTATTGTATACGTTTGTTGCCTCTCGAAGTAATTTATGCAACGTAACTTCTGTCATTAATACGCAACGCGTTAAATCCGCGAACTTTTCCTGATGAGAAAATATTATTTTGATATTCATAACATTATTTTGAATAATAAATTTAACTTATATTTCTAGTATATGGTGTTAAACTTCTAGCACTATATGACATTAAAAATTGTTTTACCAATAGTTATTAATACCATTAATTTTCGAAATTATGTATATTTATATGTAAATCGTAAATTATATATATTTATATTTTGTTTAATTCATGATTGCAGGACTAAGCATACTATATTGTTTGATATGATTAAATATAATTTACTTGTAATTAGATGAGTTGCTAAGAATAAAACTTTTATAAATGACGTTTGTCATAAAAGTAATGACATTTGTATAAATTACATATATAGTAATTAATTTGTTTTGAAAAAATGTGTATATCTTTTGTTTGCTTTTGGTGTTACTGCTTTATATAACGAACTTATTTGTGGGCATGATATAATAAAGATTAAAACTTTAGTAATTTTGTTCTGTTAATAAGTAATATAAACATTGTAATTGAAACATATTAATTACCGGCTTTTCATCTGATCTAGTTGAGTATTTCCCGCAATAATCTATCCAATTTTCTCTTATAATATTTGATTCCTCGATTAAAGGATCACAGCTTCTTTCTAATAAACGTATAGGTGCGTCAAATTTCAAACCTCTGTGCATATCAATTTATTGATATTTAATATTTTCTCTATATAATAATATAAATGCGAAACATAAAAAGTTATTGAATACATACTTGGTTATCCATTCGGCAGCTTCATCGCCATGATCAATAAGTTTTAGTGGTCTGCCCGTTTGCCATGACGAGTAATAACAAATTCTGCTATTTTCTTTTATGCTTTGCTCTGTGATACATAAAATGTCTAAATTGTTCAGTAATGAACTGTTAAATATCTTGGTTCCATCTTGTGTCATGTCAACAGATATTGAACCCAACAAACTAGTATTCGACCAGTGTAGAATTCTTTTGGTTTGCTGATTATATAATAAGTACATCCTGAAATGGCATAGTGAAAGTTTAACATTACTTTCAAATTGTGTAATATATAAACATTATTTATCAAAATTTATAAAATTACTTCAATACGCGTTATTGATAATTAAATATTGTATATAAACCGTTTGAAGTTGCTATACTTCTTTTTTATACATTAGTACAAATCAAGTCGTATATGCAATTACCTATAATCGATTTTAGTATATTGCATAAAAACTGTCGATGTTTTATAAATAAATACAATTAATATTATCTTATTTTAGTTAAATTTTATAAAAAGAATATACCACACTTAAGTTTAACAATGATCCGAAATCTTTAAAAATAATTAAGTTGGACTTTAATTGAGGGAATGGGCGGAATACATAATAATATATATAAGAAAGGCCTAATTACAAAATTTTAATTTTAATAAAAATTAAAATAAGTTGCTACCTTTATATTATACACAAATGGGTGTAGTATCAAATGAATTTATGTAATGTCTTTAAGAAGTTGTATGTTACAATACTTTTCTATTATGATCAATATTATATAAAGAGCTAATCTCCGGCAAAAGAACCTAAGTAGAATTAGGCTTTTATTCCGCCTATCCTTACAATTACGACTATACTAATAACGTCCAATTTTTAATATTAAATACTTTAAATCGATTATGAAATATAAATAATAGACCTGTTCTTATTGACTGAACTTTTGCACCAGTTTATCATTCTTCTTTTTCTTTCCTCCTGAAGAGAAAAGGAAGAAAGATGAACTGGTGCAAAAATTCATCTAAAAAGAACAAGCCTATTATACTGAATGATGAGTGAGCTACACCTTTAGCAATATTTTAATTACATAGAATTACATAGAATTCAAAGAATATTTGTATTTTACACTAACCCATCCCAAAATACTTGACTTCGTGAGTATTGAGTTATCATTCCATTGTGATTATATCTAAAAAAGTTATGTTGCATTTTCTTTCCCCCTTTTATTGGATATATGAACATATACTGAACATTACCGACTCTAACCCAATTTGGATTATGAAGTTGGGGATGATTCTTAATGTAGTGTTTATCAATAGCAACCTGTTCGGATATATATATATAATTATTACTTAAAAAATATATTGTATTTGTTCTCTAATATGAATAATTTAAATAGAAGTATAATCGTAATCAGATCTTATACATACCTCATACATTGTTATCAATGGTTATTAAAATCTTGAGAAGAAGTAATAGATTCGATCAATGTACATTCAATGCAGACAATATTAGCCGTTCTGTTCTTTTACTTTTAATTCTATGATTTGTAATGTGTAATTACTGTATGTAATCTTACAAACGTATAATATTAACAAATTATGAGATTGTACACAAGTAATATTTTTTCCCTTTTTCTCCGCAAAGATCTTATTACACGATGATAATCTCTTCTTGATCAGTCAAATTTCTATGTAAAGTGTCGGTATTGATTGTTCGTTCTTATTATTCTCTATTTCGTCTGTTATATTTTGTGTTTTCCTGGAACCTATTGTTTATATTTTATGAAAAGGTTATACAATGGTAGCGCGCATTTAACTTCTCTGATTGTGAGAGTTTACTTACAGGTATATATTTATATAAATTGTAACTACTTGACAATTACATATAATTGGTTTAAATATCGATATTTAATCTTTGAATGCATTTATAAGATTTTATATTAGAGTTTAATCACTTAATAAAACTTTCGTAATTGCGTTTACGCTATTAAGTTATATCAGTGTATTCAAGCTCTATAAAGTTAGCAGAACCAAATCAGCAGAATCAAATCGGATCTATCGGAATTTTTAGTACTTATTTTGTACTAAATTGTACCATTAATGATAATTTTGTACCGTATGCCATTTCGAAAAAAATCATGGCGCTGCTTAATATTAAGCTGGCAGGATTAATTCAAAATAAAAGAAAAATAATATCAGAAATCAATACGATTGAATTTGTATTATTTTGTACTGCCAAAAACAATTTTATATTACGTATCATTTCCAAGAAAACAGTGGCACTGATAGTTTAATATTTAAACTGGCAGGACCATAAAAAAAAAACAACATAGGGCAAAAATTAACGCAACTGAAATTTGTACTAATTTGTACATACCATTGAAGTCAGTTAATATTTTACATTTTTCTCTTTAAATTTTATTAGTATATATAATACTTATAATCTATGAGGTATTCCACGTCAAACCGGGCACCTTTTTTACAAAATGAGTTCTAAAAATTCCGATAAGTCCAATTTGATTCTGCTAATTTGGTCCTACTAGCTTGATAGAGCTGTGTATTCAGGATACACTACAGTAATACATTTTTTTCTTGTTTAAAATAAAAATCAAAACTTATCTATCATACTTATATGAATCGTGCAATTAAATTTTACTTTATTTTATGTACATGCTTATTAAAATTATGCGAATTAAAAATTTATTTTTAATTAATAAAATTGAATTTTATATTAATATTTAATATAAACAGATGTTAGATAATTTTTAAACAAATATTAAATTTTTAATAAAAAATAGGAAAGAAATCTGCGGAAATTTTCATATTTCTTTAATTTATGTATTAATTAATTGATACGTCATAATCTAATATGTACAGATATTAGCTGCGTTTAGCAGATTCAACAGTTGAGTGAGCGATTGCTGAAATTTATTTAAATAAATAATACTTATTACATGCACTGAACCAAAAATGTACGTAAATACAATAAAAGTATTCATTGGTATTAATAAAAAATTCATTAAAATTG